CTTTGCTCTTTATTATTTTTTCTCTTTGGTGCTATTTCGTTTATAACCCGTACGTTACATTTTCTTTTAATGTCTTCACTCCTCTTTCGATCTCAAAGCGTATTTCCTGTGATTCTTTTCAGAACTCTCATCACTGCCGTTTGGCCATGGAAGACCATCATGGCAATTTGTATTTTGCAAACTGTGGCTCTGAAAATATTTGAAGTTGTTGTGTTAAACCACGTAGTTTTCAGCCAGGAACTTCTTCGCCTTCCTGGTCCTCGCTTTTTCTTCTGCTTTTCCTTGAAGAAATAATTGTAACAACCCATATCTTTCGCTGTTTCTCATGATGTGACCGAGTTATTGAATTATGGTTGTTTTTATTGTGGTTAACAATTCTTTTCCTTTTTGACTTCTTAATAAAACGTCCTGGTTGGTAACGTGGTCAGTATGATATCTTCAGTACTCTACAAAAAAGACATGTTTCAAAAGGATCAATGTTCTTACAGGTAGCGTCTGTGAGACTCCACGACTCAACTTCGTACAACAGTATAGGACAGATACCTATAACATCGTAGTAACCTGATTTTTATGGATACTGCTTTTTCTATCCTAGATTTTATTTCTACAGAATGGTCCCAATTTTCTTTGACGTTCGTATCAAAGTAGGTGTATGTTTTTACTCTTTCTATTGAGTGACCATTCACACTGATTCTTTCAACTTGCTGTTCCTTCTTAGATATCAGCATACATTTTGTTTTTTTAATTTTTATTGAAAGTTCATATCTCTGACTTACTTCTGTGATTCTATTCATTAACTACTGAAGGGCTTCATGACTGTCAGCGAATACCACCGTGTCGTCCGCGTATCTAATGCTATTGATATATTCTCCGTTAATTTGAATTCCGGCTTCAACATCTTCCACTGCTTCTTGAAAGATTCCCTTAGAGTATATGTTAAACATCAAGGGTGATAGTATACATCTCTGTCAGACCTCGCATTCAATTTTATATCATCGGATTCTCATGTCTCTCTACGGATAGACGATGTTTGATTCCCGTAAAGATTCAGCATTCAGCATAAAGCGTTCAAACAGAAATAAAAGAGTACGCATAAACAACACTAATACAATAAAACATTTACCTGGGCCAAATAGAATTAAAAAAGACTTAAAATATTTATTAAATCTCTTTCTTAAAATATTTATTAAAGCCCATCACCTGAACACAGAAGATATATGGCAAACTAATGGCAAAGGTATTGAAATATTTATTGTAGATTTTTCTATATCACGATTTTGGTTTTCTTCCATTAGATTTGACGATAAGGTCGACCGAGAAGAACGTAGCATACTGAAGGAGTCGGCACTATTTTTTTCAAGTAGTAACACCAAAGTATTCTGTTAAACTTAACACACTACGTGTGTCCCTAGTAAGTAATAACCACACTTTGTATTAACCTTGGTCAAAATTTAAATTTCACGTTCTTTTTAATTAAATGGTTATATACTTTTTGGGACACTGATGATGGAATCTGGATTTCAAAAACGTTTCGTGATATAGCCCGATTGGATTTTTAAATTATATACTTTTTATAAAGGATTTTTAATAAAATTTTTGGTATACCAGTGTCAATCTGGCATCCAGACTACTCATGAGAAATACTCATCTTACGGGAACATTGCGGTCTAGCCAAAAGCTCAATCCTGCTGCAGTGGTGGGTTCTAGACTAAATCAAGGCGAGATCAAAGCTCAGCAGTCAAACCATGGAATAACCATTTGTTAATGGAAAGATACGAGGGATCTGTTAGTGCTCAGCACATTTCACACAGATTCAATGGTTGAAGTCACGAGACGACACGGAGCTGCAATCATAAAACCGGAAGTCGTGGTAAGCTACAATAAATCAAAAGCGTTTATCGATCTCTCTGATCAGATGAATGCCTACTCTCCGTATTTAAGGAGAACTCTCAAATGGTACCGCCGTCTCATTCTGGATTGCATGCTAGGCACAACTATGGTAAATGCATTTGTTATGTACAATGCAAACAATCCAAATAATAAGCTGAGTGTGACGGACTTCAGGAATAAGGTTGCTGAAGAACTTCTCTATCCTACCGAAGAAGCACACCTGGTACCAGTCCCACCACCTGTCAGAGAACACAGGTTGCAAGCTGTTGAGGTAGTTTTTCCAAAAGTAAAGAAGAGGTGCACTGGTTGCTATGAACGTCTTAAGCGTGAACGGGATCGTAAAAAATGCTGCAGCTCACACCAAAAAAGTCATCACCAAATGTTCATCTTGTGGCAATTTCTTTCAAATGTTTCAATGAAAAACAACCTTAAATTAGCTCACATGCATAAGTTGAATGTGGTTAGATGTATTTAGTTTTATTATAAGCATTGTATTGCTAGCATTGTTAGTTTTTGTAAGTTGTATGATTCTTTATTTTGTCCATAATAAAAAACAATTAACTGTATTATTTTGACTAAATTATTCATATTTTCCTTCCTTCCAATTCTGTAGACCATTGTATGCTTAATACACATGCTATCAGAAAACCAAGTAGACCAAGGTGTTATCTCGTACCACTGCAACATTATCTTCAAAAGAATTACATTGAAACGTGATTCCAATAGGAGCTACACGTACAGAATTACAATGTGTGATCCCCATAGGGGTCACATGCACCAGACTATAACATGTACATCTAGATAGCTTTGATAATGTAATAGTTATTCCGAAAAGATTCTGCGATGTAGCCCGATAGGATTTTTGATTAATATACCTTTAATAAAGAAACATTTTTATACAAAACTTTTTATTGAAAATGTATTTTGATATCTACTAAAATTAAAAATTTTTTGGACCAGACAACTTGTCGAAAAATAGGGCGAAAAAATATAAACTGGGAGGCTAAGTGTGATGAACTGGACAGATTTATGGGTGGAACAAATGTGGCGCAAGCTTGGAAAACATTAAAACAGTTTAGGAAAAATGAGAAAAATGAAGACAACATTTCTCTCATAAAGTTAAATGAATGGGAAGAATATTATACGAAACTGCTGAAAGAGGATAGAGTAGAGTACAGATGGGAAAAGATAAGGGAATTAATAGACAACAGAGACGAAAGATAGGAAATCCCTATAATAACATTATCTGAATTGACGGAAACCTTAAAAGAGGTTAAAAACGGAAAAGCCGCAGGGCCTGGAGACATTCCCATAGAGCTGGTTAAATATGGGCCGACTGCACTTTTAGAGTTAATAGTAGATCTTTTCAATAAATGTATGTGTGGAGACCAGGAAATTCCTAAAGATTGGAATAAATCTTATATAAGCTCCATATATAAGAGAGGGAATAAAAGAGACTGTTCCAATTATAGAGGTATTAGTGTGACGAGCTCTGTGGGCCGGTTGTACGGCAGAATATTAAAGAAGAGGGTTGAAAGACAGATACAAGATATTGAAGAACAAAGCGGCTTTCGTACCGGGAGATCCTGCCTTGATAATATATTTATCCTACGACATGATAGTGTCCCGTTAAAGAAAATGTTTGAGGTCCTCAAAAGGTCCGGATTGGATTCGACGTATATCCGAGCGATATATAAATTGTACGAAAATGCAGTTAGTTGTGTAAAAATTGGAACCAGAACCTCAAATGAATTTAAAGTCACTAAAGGCCTAAAGCAAGGATGCTGTTTGTCACCGACACTCTTTAAAATATACGTCCAAGAAGCATTGAGGAATTGGAGAAATAAATGTAGATTTATGGGCATCGAAGTGGGACAAGAAACTCTGTATACATTGTTGTTTGCAGATGATCATGTGGTGGTTGCATCCGATGAGGAAGATATAAATTATATGAATCGAAAATTATTTGAGGAATATGCCAAATGGGGGCTTACTGTAAACATAAGCAAAACAGAATATTTAAAAATTGGAGGAAATACCACAGATCTGAGGCTTGAAAACGCAGTCATAAAAGGCTGCAACCAGTATAAATATCTAGGAAGCATCATATCAGCAGATGGCAGAGTTAAGATAGATGTACAAAACCAAATAACCCAAGGGAAAAAAATGCATCCGAATACTGAATTTATTACTGTGGTCTAATAAAATAAAGATGCATACCAAACTTCGCGTATACAGAGCAATTGTAGAACCAATTACCACATATGGTACCGAATGTTGGACGATGACAAAGAATGAACGAGATAAAGTAGACGTTGTGGAAATGGATTATCTTAGAAGGTCATGTCGAGTATCGAGAATGGAAAGAATCAGGAATGAGGAAATACGAAACCGTACAGGAATTAGAGATACTCTCTCAGATAGAATACAAGGAAGGCAATTACAATGGTATGGTCACGTGATGAGAATGGAGGAGGAGCGGTGGCCAAAGAAAGCCTTAATGTATGTTCCGCCAGAAAGAAGGAAAAGGAGAGAAGAGAAATTACAAATTACAAATTCCTGGAGAAGAGAAATTACAAAAACAATGCAATCTAGAGGCTTAGAAGAGGGAGATTGGAGAGATAGGAAAAGATGGAGGCTGAAATGCGGGAAGCGGCAATCGCCGTAGGACCCCCGTTATATGATGATGATGACAACTTGTGCGGTAGATTGTCTGACTATCACGCAGAAAGTTGGGAATCGATCTCCAGCGGTAGCGATAACACCTACATATTTACTAAATATGTATGTATAAGCCTTAGGTCTACTCAACCTGAATAAAATGCACAAAGTACCTTTAATGAAACAGGGGTCCCTGCTATACTCCCAAAGCTGAGAAATCGGTATAAAGGGAGATAACATTATTATTAATTTTTTTTCTCAATGTAGCAATCTTTCGATAGAAGTATTTCAGGCTTGTCTGTAAAAGGTTTTTTGACTTCTGTCCACACTACTTCATGTGAAGCATTCATTTTTTATTTTTAATATAATTGTAATTTCTAATATTTTGAGAAGTTCGTGCTGGTGTTTTGTTTTAAATTATAGAATTTGTAATTTTAATAAAACAAGCATTGGTGAACAAATATCTATTTAAACTTTAATACTGACAGAATATCACGTTAACTTAACAAGTTAGACATATACATAAATATTAACAACTACTTAAACAATAACATATTTATAATTATTATTTTATTACATTCGTTAGTAAATAAACTATAAACTAAAATATGTGCTCATAAAGGAAATTGTGAAACATCATTTAAGTATTCTGTAAAAAGATGTTCTTAGCTTCTCTTTGAACTAGGATTTTATAAACTACATATGTGTTTTTTCTGTGCTATTGGAACTATAAAATATTGTACCTGAAATAAAAACAAATAAATTTTTTTTTATTGAGTTAATGCCTCGACAACTATGATCATTGGCATGGTACAGTCAGGTACCTAGTGTAGTGTGTGTGTGTGTGTGTGTGTGTGTGTGTGTGTGTGTGTGTGTGTGTGTGTGTAGAGTAATTGTCTTTATACTTAGCAAAGTCGACGTCATTGTCTTTGCTAAGAGACGCTAATTGTATCCGAACGTCTGCGGTCCCTCCGGTGAGTACCGATCGCACATGGATAGAAATTATTTTCCTTCATTAATTTTTTAATAAACGAAAATTTCTCTACCCAGATGGGATTCGAACTTACGACCTTTAGGTTTAAAGGTAGGCGCTCTTACCACTGAGCCACAGAGGGGGTTAAATAAAATTAAAAAGAGAAAATAACAAAATTGTAGCAAAATTTATATTTTTCAGAACAAATAACCTACATCAACTTTGTCCTTGGTATAACCGAACTTCTTCTTGACATGTTACAGGCTTTGTTTCCGAATACATTTTTGGTATATTTACAATTCTGAAGTCCTCCATACAACAATTTTCTCTATATAGTGGTAGTCCTTTTTTCGTTTTATCGGATACAGCTTGGTTATTCAACTTGCTGGATTTAGAACCTTGCAAATAATTTGGAAGTTTAGTTTTTTATGTTTATATAGATTTTTTTGTAAAGTTAAAATATGAGACATGCAGAAGGTGACATATAAGAAGGGAAATACAAACACGAGAAAAGGTAAAACACAAAATAATATAAGACTCATAGATCCTAATGAAAGTTATGACAAACGGTCCCTCATCATCATCAATGGTGCTACAGCCCTATAAAAGAGCCTCGACCTTCCCAAGTCTATTACGCCAGGCAGTCCTACCCATTGCCACCCGTTGCCAGTTTGCTGCGCCTATCTTTCTTCCATCCTCATCTACACCATCCTTCCATCTGAGTTTTGGCCTACCCCTTTTTCTACTTCCCACGGGTTGTGACATAAGGATTCTTCTAGGAGGGTTGTTCTGCTGTGGTCTTGCTAGATGTCCTGCCCATCTTAGTCTTCCTATTCTTATAAGAGATACTACGTCTTTACCACCAAATATTTGTTTATATCTGTGGTATACCTCGTAGTTGTATCTCCTCCTCCAAACACCATTTTCACAGATGCCACCAAATATTCCTCTCAGGATCCTTCGTTCAAATATAAGCAAAAGGTCTTCGTCTGCCTTGGAGATGGTCCATGTCTCCGATCCATATGTCAACACTGGCTGTATAAGGGTTTTGTATATAGTTATTTTTGTTTTTTGGCTTAAGATTCTACTTCTCATATGTCTACTCAGTCCAAAATAGTATCTGTTTGCCATTATTATCCTTCGCTTGATTTCTTCCGTTATGGCGTTCTCTTTGGTGATCAGGGAGCCTAAGTATGTGAATTTGTCCACCACTTCAAAGGTAGAGTTATCAACCGTGAATTGGGGACCGATGTTCCTGACTCTATTGTTGGGTGTTGATGCCATCATTTTAGTTTTCTTTTCATTTACTTGCAGGCCCATAAATTTGGGTTCAAATGGTCGCTCTCGTTCTGTAATATTTGAAAGAGTTGTAACTGGTTTCCAAAAACTGATTTAATAAATTCAGCATTAAGTTAAACTATGTATAAGTTACTCAGAATTTAATATGAAGTAGATCTATCACAAAAATGCTAAAGCTACATATTTTGTGGAATCAGGTTATTTTTAGAAATACAGCAATACAGTTTATAACAAAAACTATAGAAAAACAAGAAATTCTGGGAGAAACTAGAACTTCTCAGTTTAAAAATTGTTTTAAAAAATATATCATAATCCATTCGTCAGAGATTTAAGGAAACAAGCTGAATTTTCCTGAAAATATCAATTTTGCGACCCCAAGTATCATGCAAAAAAGTTTGAAACTCCTACCCTTGAGCTTCCTCATAAAGCTCACCTTCTACTATAGGGAGGGGCAACGAGGGGCATCAATCGATTTATTGCGAATCTGTACGCCTTAAAAAATATTTTAAACAAGAGATATAGCTGAGATAATTTTGAACAAAACTGATTATTACCGTTTTTTTGTTTAATGAACCGTCCTCTCAGAAACAACGCTTAAAGCGACCGGATTTGTATATATTTTTATCAGTGTCCTATCGACAAAAATTAAGATGTACTTTAAAGGTGAAGAGTGAAGATTTTATCTATGTAGCTTTTATATTTTTCCACAAATAAAATCAGTTTCTATAAACCTCTTATAGTACAAGATCTCACTACAAGATCACTACGTTCATAACGTAGTTAATTAAACTTACATCTTTTATACCTCGTGTTTTTAACAGCTAGAAACCCGAATTTGAAACTATTTTTTTCAAGCAACCTTAAACAGGCCATTCACGTTTCGATTTTTAGTCCTACTAGTGGTCCAACTTCCGCAGCTGTATCTGAAATAGGACTGTAACTGGGATGATTGGATTAGTTGGACAACTAGTGGTACGAGTCAGAACATCTAGAGGGATGACTTGAATGTACGACTTCCGACTGGCGACCAAGTGGGAACGTGAATGGTGAAGTTGGAACGAAGTCGGATCACAGGTCGGATCGAGAATTTCCTTAGTCAGTTGACTTTCGGCACTTGACCTTCGGCACTTCTGAGATTTCTATGAATTACTTTACGCAAAAATCCCTAGTTTGCAAATATTTAATAAAAAATAAACGTTTAATTGCACGAAAATTACGCTATTAAAATACACGATTTCTCATCATTATCTACTTTTTACTAGTTATAATAGGATAAATCATTTTCCTTTTTGTGGATCTGGTTTCCTACACAGGTACAATTTCCAATACTCCGGATTGGCTACAGAAGAATTATTATCAACCAACAAATTTTCCTAACTTATATTGTGGCGTATTCCCAATTAAACTCATAAATTGACTACAAGATCACTTTATAACTGATATTTCCTCCCTGTATACAATTTGCTTACAACATCATCTTCAAACAAAATCTTAATTGGTGCTGTCTGTCCGACATCGCTGAGCAAATATCGCTAGTTCGCAATTAAATAATAGAAAATAACTTTAAAATTCACGGAAAATTATTATAGCCCTGCAAATTTCTCGCATCATTAGTTGGGGAGATATTTTACAGCTGAACTTCAGATCCTCAAATGACCTTTCAGTGGCCACAAAGCGTAAAGTTGCTACAACGCGTTGTTCAGTAGTGACACATTCACTCATGACGGTATATTTTTTGGTTATGAATAGACCAACTTTTCCAGCAACAGCGAAAAAGTGAAACTGACCATTCTGAGGTAGTTTTTGTAATCGTCCTCATCAATAACATTGAGAAATTTCATGTTACAATAGTTCACACGATCAACAAATAATTTTTTCATCCAATATTTTTTCTTTTTTTTTCAAATAATAAGGATAACAAGCACAATGCTGCCATTTTCCTCCCCCTAATTGTATTCTGCGTTGTGTTTACTCGATACATTTTTTGGTTAAGCGATGTACACCGTCGTGAAAACAAAATAGAACTGAAATTGGACTAGTTGGATAGCAAGTTGGAGCGTGAGTGGCGACGAATATCCGACTAGTAGTCCTACTAAGCAGGATCGCAAATCAGAACGTGAATGCCCAGCTTTATGTCATTATATTAAAAAAAAACTTAGCTTGAATATAATATAAAAAACATGCATGTACGTTATGGGCAGCGTATTTAATTTAAAAAATAATTGAACGAAATAAAATTTTTGTTAAAAAATTAATATATTGATTGAATTAAAAATTTTTGCCGCCACTGTTTGAACTTTAATCTATTATCAATGAGTATTCTTCCAATTTTAAATGTATGTAACAATGTGTATTTGATTACTGTACTCTTCACCTTTAAAACGAATTTTAATGTCGAGAGAACTATTTAATCAAAAGGTATCAAATTTTTACCATCGAGCTGATACAAATTTTATTCAAGAAATTGATTTCACGCACCTGACATTCGAAATCGCCGTTCAGTTTAAACAGCATTTCTAAGAGAACTGTTCCTTCTACAGAAAAAGTGCTAATAAACATTTTTATTAAAAATTATCTCAGTTACATTTATTGTTTAAAAAATTTTTTTATGACGTACAGATTTTTGGAAAATCAATGTTTTCAGTTTTCCGCCCCCTACAGGGGAGTTTTAAAGGGAAATCCGGGGGTAGTAGTGGCAAACTTTTTTGCATCAAAAATACATCACAAGATTAAAGTCGATGATCTTTTGACAGAAGCAATCGGAATATATAAATGAGTGAGACAAGGATTTAGACTTTCCGCATTGTGATTTAACATAAATATACATACTCCAAATATATTTTCTTACAAGGGCTAAATATGCTGACGGCGCAGTAATTTTTGCAGACAATTTGGAGAATTAACACACAATATTCTAATACATATCAGATATCAGTAAAGAGTATAGATTGAATCAAAAAAGGAAAAAAAATTGGTAATCAGAAAAAACAATATACTCAATACACAGTTTTTGATTAATCACCAGCGAATTTACAGAATCAATAGCCGCACATACTGCAGTACTAACATAAACAATCAATGGGGCCACTTCATCGAAATTAATTAAGATATAAAGGAGGTATGGTCAGCATTCATATAGCTGATATCTATCTTTCGAAGTCATGATTTACCACTTAGAACCAAAGTCTCCATCCTTAGATGTTATGTCTTATCTACCTTATTCAACAAAGTAGAGGATCCGACACTTCTAAATCTCCTTTAAAAAAGCTCTAAGCCTTCGCGATGTGATATAATTGGAGCATCTTAACACTTTCATGGATGGATCAGACGAACAATGTTGGAAGGTGGGAGGTTTAAACACGTCTAAAACTAAACAATAACGAATAGCTGCCAGCAAATTAAGAATACCCATGCTGACTGCTAATATCCGGAAAGGATAGATAACGTAAGAATAAGAAAGTTTATTATCTGTCATATAGATTTGACAATGTTTTGAAACAGAACTTGAGGTTTTTTATTGCACTTGCGTTTTAGTTTGACTTAACTATTTTCTTTATTTGTTAAGCCTGTGCTATATTTGAGCAGTATCCTCTGTACTTTTATTGTTATTCTGTTCTTGTCTTATTCCTACAGTTCTTAATCAATCTTTTCTGTATGTTATTCTTATAATTATCAACTTCATGCCAAAATTTCAAATTTTTTATTGTAGAAGTGTGGTGCTTATTATTTTTATTTTTAATTATACGCATTAACGTAGGCTATTATCGGGATAATCTTTTCTGTGTTGTGTATATTGTGTGTGCTTGTGTGTTAGAATAAATGGTTCGTTATATAATAGTTTTCTTTCTCGTCCTTATCACTACAATGACTTGGTTATAAAATCTAAAATACGGGCAACATCTCTGACGGTAACGATTCGGCAAACGTTAAAATATTTTTTAATAGAATTTTAATCGAACAGAATTGTCACGATCGGTTGTATCCTAAACCACGAGAAACTGAAATTTGACTTTGTAAGATGACCACACAATTAAAAACTAAGAGTAGAAACTTTAGAATATCTAGAAAATTATAATTTATCTGATTATATATTATGATATTTTGAGAATATGACAACGTAAATATTTTTTTAAACATTTTAGAAACAAAATCAAAATTATTCATTTATTATTAAAAACAAATTACAAAACAATGTAATGAACAGAACTATTTCAAACAAAAAATATAACAATTAGATGGAGAGATGGAGACAAATACTGTTAAGTGAGTACGATAACTGGAGAGATAAACGAGTAACAACAATATATTTGAAATGATACCTATATTTTTCGAAAAATGTAATTGTGTGTGTGTGTGTATGTTTAGAACGATATGAAGATATTAGTAAGATAAAAAAACTTACCCATTTTCTTCAGTTTGGAAATTATTATTCTTTCTAAAACAATCATAGGACTTTCAAAAACGAGTACCCATATGATGGATAGTCCAAACATTAACATAAATATTCCCCAAAACCAGTAAGCCTAAAATAAGTTGATATTAATTCATTAATCTGAGTGTCATTTGTTTTATAATGTATTAGTTAGCATATTAAAATTAGAATATATATTTTATCTGTACATTATTATTCATTAACATTTTTTTAATTTCAAAGACTATTACTAAAACTCGAACTATAACTATTCCCATCTTTAAATCCAATAAGCCACCAAACAAAGCAGATTCTTATCGTCCTGTGTAACGTCTAATATGTAATAAGCTTTAAAAAAAAATTATAAATAAACGTTTATTTTGGTGCCTGGAAGAAAATAACCAACTAATTAATGACAATCAGGATTTCGTCCCTTAAGATCGTCTACCGATAATGTTTTGTCCTTGCTTAGAGGTCGAACTAAAATAATCTAAAATACCGAAAATGTGTTTCCTTTAATCAAAAATAGACGTGTCCTAAGTTTCTGATACTGCCTCTGTTGCCTTTTCTTCCGGCCACTCAGTATAATATTCACTTCGAATAAAGATGGAGGGTTTATTACTGATTGTACTATATAAATATTTAAACCAAATTTAGTTAAATGATTAAGACAAAATTTAAGCTTACTTACCAAATTAAAGATTGTCATATAAAGTGGCCTCTTCTGTGAAAACATTATCATATACAGACAGGTAACGTGCAACAAATACATGCTATAGATAAACTTATTTAAAAACTGGAATACTCCATGTGATAATGCTGTATTTATAAATCCTAAAACATATTTTAACATATATATAATATATAACATTTATATATATATTATATATATATATATATATATATATATATATATATATATTTATATATATATATATATATATATATATATATATATATATATATATATATTTATATATATATATATATCGCACCCTCAGTAATATAAGGGATCAACTCAAAATTTTGGTAAATTGAGATTTTAGATGCTATGGGCACAAAATTAAATTCTCTACTGGTTAGCGCTGACAGAGAGAGAAATAGGACATTAGTTGCTCGGTAAATATATTTGTGCCTCTCTCTTACTCTCCCCGCCAACCTATTGTTTTTACTGCTACAAGGTAACAATCAGTAACGTGCCCATAATCGTCAAAGGCGGACTGTTCAAACGTCGTGCGATTCCTGTTTGTGCCCTTCTATGACAAAAATGCTGATGAGTTTGTATGTTAACATTTTTTATTATATAGAACAATTTTTCGTTTAGCCCTTATATTATGTAAAATGTAATTAATAATTGGGTTTAATTCATAATAGCTCGCTATATTGCCAAAAAGTAGAGATGTTATACGGAATCATATCTTATTGGTTCATTATAGTACGTAAATTGTTTTATTGTTGATGGCAAACTTTGTAATTGGCCCTTATTTACATGAAAATTTTAACTATTTTTTTAATTGATCCGATTTGCGGCGAGTTCGTTGCTCAGCCAGGTACGCCTAAAGCCAATATTTCCAAGCCATCCTTATCGAGATGCGATGAGTTGCCATCAGTTAGGTCAAGAACAGTAGGTAGTTACATAATGTCTCCAATACATTCAGAGGAAAGCGACGTAGACCTCAGTGATGACGATCCCACTTACAAACAAGAACATTTTCGTCGACGTCCACGGATCACAGCAACTCTAACTTCGATTGGTACAAACAATGTAACTATGACAAATGATAACATTCAAAGACAATCAAGAAAACGTAAAGCAGATCCAACCAAATGGATACAAAACACGCAAAAAATGAAACGAACTTGGGTCAAAGCTATGTAACTATACATTCGAAGAAATTGGTTCCTGCACGTAATATGAAACCACCAAACCGCCAAAAATGTAGATTAAAATGCAGTGAGCGAATCGATGATTCCAAAAGGTTGAAATTATTTAGTGCATTTTGGGCATTAGGGGATAGACAATTACAAAGAATGTATGTTTTGTCTAATAGCGCACAGATTACACCTAGGTACAAGTATATCGATGCCGAAAAACCACGAAATCCAAACCATGCATTTTATTTTTCCGTATACAACGAAAGAGTTAGGGTATGCAAATGCTTTTTTATTAATACTATTGATATTTCTCATAAGATGATTCGAAATGTACATGAAGATAGTAGAAAAACTGGGGGCTTCATAAAGGATGATCAACGCGGCAAACACAATAGTCATAAAAGTGTAAGTGATGAGCTTATAAATGACATCACCAACTTCATCAACTCTATACCCCGCATTGAGTCACATTATCTAAGAGCATCTACCTCTAGAGAGTACATCAGTAGTGATAAAAGTATTGCAGAGCTCTTTAGAGATTTTGAAGTACTGCAAGAGGAAAGGTCTCGCCCGGCTGGACTATATCACACGTTTTATGAAATTTTTAACACAAAATTTAACCTTGGCTTTTATCAACCCAAAAAAGATCAATGCGATCTTTGCCTGCAGTTCCAAAATTCTACTGAACCACTAAAACAGAATCTTTGGGATCAATATCATACGCATTTGGAAAAAAAGAAGTTACTTAATATTTGTGTATGTTACGATGTACAAGCCATTATGCAAAGTCCTAACGGTGAAACATCAGCATTCTATTACAAATCTAAATTAAATAGTTACAGTTTCACTATGACGGAATTAAAAAAAATTCACGAAAACGATGTGTCAACAATGGACATCTCTAAAGGCTATGAAAATGTCCATTGTTATTTTTGGGACGAGACTCAAGCGAAAAGAGGCGCTACAGAGATAGGGAGCTGTGTTTTCCATTATTTACAGATGGTGTCTGATAAAGCTGGTGACAGGGAAGTAAATATAACATTTTTTCCGATAACTGTTGTGGGCAAAACAAAAATAAATATCTCACATGCTTATACTTATACGCTGTTGCCAATCTAAAAATTTGTCGTCGATAACTCACAAATATCTCATAAAAGGGCACACTCAGAACGAAGCTGATAACGTGCATAGTTTGATACAAAAGCAGATAGCTAGAGATAGGAAAACTGGCCCAATATACTCTCCTGTTCAATACATCTCAGCAATCAAAAGAGCAAGGAAAACTGGTGCTTCATTTATAGTTCACAGTTTAACTTACAATGTTTTTTACGATCTTCAGAAATTACAAGAAAATTGGGGCTATAATTTTAATACAGATGAACAGAAAAATAATCTTGTATGGAATAGTATTAAAGTACTGAAATTTACCAAAGAAGACCCATTTTCGTTTTATTACAAGTGCTCATATAAGGATGAGTTTAAAAAAGTTAATGTTCGTGATAAGAGAAAGAGAATGCCAAATATTAAAGAAATAACCATGCAGAAAGCTTACCTCCAGGCTCTTCCACTTAGTTGTGCTAAAAAGAATGATCTTAAGGATCTTATTAATAAACAATTGATAGATCCATACTATGCGTCTTATTATAACAACATGTTGTCTTAATATTACTAATCTTTGGGATTTCAACATTATTTTGTGTAGACTGAATACATAGCCAAAGTACAATAATTAAGTTTTGAGACTGAATTTTATTTTTGAAGACTTTATTTTTTAGAATGAATTTTTTTGTTATGTGCAGTTTTCGAAGTTTAGAATGGAGGAATGAATGTTTTTTTATTATGTATAATTTTTTAAGTTTACTGTGGAGATTTATTGTGATATACAATTAAGTATTAAGTAAACGACAATGTAAAAATTGAGGAGTTCCTACTTGTAAGTTTTATTTGGAATTAAAACGTCTAACTCATAAATGGGACAATATTAAAGCTATCTTATTATGTTTAACTCTTGTTTTGAATTTTTTTTAGATTATTGTTATATTTTGCACTGATTAATAAAGTATTACTATTATTTTACCTGATATTTTATTTATAAAACAGAAACAATAAATTCAAACATCGGTTGGGATTGGTGATATAGAGTACCATTTACGATTAAAAATTAAACAGTGGCAGGGACACTAATAATATAAGGGATCAAACTTCAATAGTTCCTTATTTCTGTTATGGTTTTTTATACTATACGGGACTAACTCGAAAGTAGTTTTTTCCATTCCTTGTAATTAATAGAATTTATTTATATTATTATTTTTTCCTCATTGCAATTTTTAGTGCAGTTATCAAATAACAAATCTGCCAAATTTCATATTTATAACTTAAATAATAAGCATTTTATTTGAAAAAATAGCTGTAATGTCGGATACCAGAATCTTTAAATGCGATTTCCCACAAATCTACTTTTTGAATTGTGCCTCTATATTACTGAGGGTGCGATATATATATATATATATATATATATATATATATATATATATATATATATATATATATATATATATTATATAAGTAAATTATTTTACAAACCTCCATGGTTAGTAGCGCATGCCCATATTATCCATCCTACTGCTAACGCAAAAGACGGTCGGACTAATGCAATATAAAAAGCATTTTCTAATCTATGATATTCTGGACCTCTTAAAGTACTATGGCCTCCAAGTACGCAAAGAAGCATCACAGTCAAACTTAAAAACCACATAGGTATTACGATGTGCTAAAACAGGTACAAGTTCTAGATAATACTATTTTTTGTTTATTTTCAGTTACATTAATATAAAGTTACATAAAATTTAATCAAAAACAAATACCTTTGAGATACGACTGTCTCTAAATGTTTTCCTAGTTAACATGTACCCCAAGATGGTCCCAATGAACCATGGTGCAGCCCTTGTTTCAGTCTTTAGATAATAGTCATTCATGTAGACGTTGAATGGAGTTCTAAAATAGTATTAGTTTCTTAAAAAAATGAATATCAAGGACATTGTTAAATACTATGCTAAAACCTATAACTAAAATTTTACAAGTGCTAATAACTCAGAGGAAAGTTTAGCAGATGAACAACAGAGTTTTGTAGTGGAAGATCGTCTACAGATGTAATATTTGTTATAAAGCAAATTACTGTGAAAAAACTAGATTAAATAAACTAGACTGTAGAGTTTTAAACTAGACTTCTAAAATACTCGCAGTATTCCTTAATAACACTATAGGCGAAACAGATACATTAACATTGAGATGAAATCAAGAATTTGCAATTAAATTTACAAGCCAATGTGAGACCAATAATGACATATGCCTCAGAAACAAGACCTGACACAGCGATAATGCAAAGGCTACTGAAAACGGCAGAGATGAGTCTACTAAGAAGAATTAAAGGAGATACGCTGAGAGAAAGAAAAGTGAAGACATTAGAAGAAAATGTAACGTACAGTGTATAAATAAATGGGCACATAATAGAAAAAAAAGAATGGAATAACCACATAAGCAGAATGGAGGAGACTCGTATCGTCAAAATAGCAAGAGATCACCAATCCGCAGAAGTATATGACGACCACGCAAAATATGGAGTAACAACCTTCCATTGAGGTATTAATCCACCAATGAACAAGCAGAATTGCTTATAAAGTGCAAGAAGAAAAAGAAAAAGATCAAGAAAATTTTAAATAATGTAAGCACTGGTCAAACAAATAGTTGTTTAAAAGGCTAAATTAAAGCCTTATTTAATATATTTTCATTCTAGATAATAATTTGGTAAGATTAGGAATATACAGAAGAGATAAAGATTACAATAGTCTAATAAAATATAATGTAATGAGGATGAAAAGATAAAACGAGAAAGGTGCCCCACAGATAATTTAGTTTATCCGATGATTTGAATTATTTTCTTTATAAATTGAGACTAACATTACATATGAAAGATAAAGAAACAATAAGAAATAAAGAACGATATGAAACACGAAAACCAAAAGACATCGAGCAGCAGAAGAAGGAATTGGAAGAGATAAATTATAAAAACAAAAAGCATGTTGATATGAAAATTGATGATAGCTCAAATAAAATGACAAAGCTTATCAGAAATAGCTGACCACAGAAGATTAAGTAGGCAGCAGAGAATACAGAAGACAAACTTATGAAACACAAAAAGAATTAAAAAACAGAACAAAGGATACAGATATCATAATGGAAAACTCAAAACCGGAGATATTATGAAAAACGTGTTAGACATGGCTGACAATGGAAATAAGAAGCTGCAGATTACCACCAATAAACAAAGTGCAAAATCAACGATTTAAACAACTAACGAATTTGAAGTAGATATCAAATTGACATATGCAGGGAATGGACTAGACAGTAATACTGTTAAAAACTTGGAAGTGGAAACCAAGCAGAGAAAGGCAAAGAGGACGTCCCAGATTACAGTAGAAAAATTCACAAAGTTTTAAATGAAAGAAGAACATAGTTAATGAAAAATACATAGCTGGCTACTTGCAGTCAGCTTCAATTTTTTATGGACAAAGGCAGAAGTTCAAAAATTTTTTTGGCTGTTTTTATTAAATTTGGAGCCAAAGTTGGAATAAAATTTATGTGTATATTTTGAACCGTAGAAAAAGGGGTAGTTTAATTTTTATAAGTAATACTCAACAAATACTTTATCGGGTTAATAACGAAAATCCGCTTTTCGGCGCTATTGTATAAATGGTAACTTTTAAATGATAAATAAAGAAAACAGGTATAGGAAAATTAACAAATACCAAAATATTCTGCAGCAAAACTCAAGTATGAAAATTATAGACTGCTAAAATTATAGATAGCAGGGCTGGAAATCTGTACCAAAAAGTTGACTTAATGTACGTAGGCGGTCCGATAAGTACTTAGCCTTACCGCCTGATGGCGCCACAATCTAAAGAAAAATCTAATATTGCGTAGTAAATTCTGGTAGACGACAACTGTCAACATTTAGTTTAATTAAAATGGTAGTGTTATTTTGACCGCGGGTGAACGCAGGCGTTTACGCGTATTTTAGACAAATTTAAAAAGATCTAAATCGGTCGGTGACTCGATACTTGTTTTTAGAAGGGAAATTGAGGAGCAAAATCAAATAGTGCTTGAATATTGTGTACGGTGACTCTTCTTCTTCAATGGCAACCATCAAACATTGGTATAATGAGTTTTAACCAGGTCGCACGTCGTTTTTTCATGAAAAACGCTAAGGTGCCCCCAAAAAGGCTACCACAGATTATAACGTCACAAAAATCCACGATCTCGTATTGACAGATCGCCGACTGAAGGTGTAAGAGATAGCTGAGACAATAGGCATCTTAAAAGACCGCGCATGTCATATCCAGTATGAAATTTTGGACAAGAAAGCTGTCCGCGCGATGAGTGCCGGATTTTGGCACAGGGGATAACAAGTGCAACCGTGAGACCACCTCAGAGCAGTGTTTGACTATATTTAAGTGTAATTCTAAGGAGTTTCTACGTCCTTTTAAAACATGAATCCACTAGTATATACCAGAGACCATGAAACAGTGAAATACTTGATGAAATCTGGCGAATGTGCTTCGAAGAAGTGAAGACAGTCCTATTGGCCAAAAAGGTGATAACCACCATTTTCTGGTATTCACAAGGGGTGATCTATATCGACTACCTGGAGAAGGGTAGAACGGTCACAGGGCCCTACTACACTGAATTATTAAATTGATTAAATGCCGAATTGCAGAAAAGAAGACCCATTTGTCAAGGAAAAAGTGCTCTTCCACCAAAACAACGCACAGCCTCATACCTCCACCTTCGCTACGGCGAAATTGGTCGAATTGATCTACAAACTAAAATACAATTTTTGTTTTGTTTGTCAAACTTAAAAAGAGCACTCGCCGGACAGAAATTTGAGTCCAATGAGGAGGTCATCGTCGCCACGGATACCTACTTTGCAGACCACGATATAATGTATTTTTCAGATGGGCTAAAGAAGTCGGAGCATCTCTGTGTTAAGTGTATCGAGCTAAAATGAGACTGTGTTGAGAAATAAATTTCTACTTTTCCAAAATTTTCTTTTTCTTTTGTAGGTTAAGTATTTATCGGATAGCCCTAGTATGAGAAGCAGAATGAACATAATATATGCTGACATATTTTTATTTTAAAACATACTTTGATCTAAAGGATATAAAAAGTAGCACTATTTATCGACTTTTCATAAGCATGTGACACAATACACTTAACAGTTTAATTAGATAACTGGCAAAGTATGTGGCAAAAGAATACTTAGCAAGATGGTTAACCTCATTAGAATGAATTAAAGAGCAAAATAAATAAGGATCAAATAAACATTAGGTAGGATAAACTTGAGAATCTAGCAAAATACATATTACAAGTTAGATAGATACCCACACTCAAAACCGTGGCGAAAATCTCGTTAATTAACAATAGTGAAAATCTCTTCCTATTTTGGCTTTATTTAAGAATAAAAAGTTTACTGCTTAAAAAACGAAGAAATGTGCAATGCATTAAATGTGCACTAGAAAAAGCTTACAAACAAGAAGAGAGGAAAAGAATCTTGGTTTTATAAATAAATTGCTATTAACTGGAAAATAATTAATTATACAATTTTTGTGAATTTCTGCAGTGTATTTAAAAAAAAACTTTTGTCATATAAACAATAGTAAACTATATTTTTTTCTATATGTATTTTACAGAGTTCTATAAAAGACAGAATTAGGCAACCCATTCTACGCCTAGAATAAATATATGTTTTCTAACTTGAAGGAGAACATGTGGTAAATTTATATTGATTTTAAAGTGTAGGGTCGGTTCAATGTTAGGGTATTTTATTCGCATAAATATGCACCAACATGTTTAGGTCAGTATGAAATGTTTGCTATTTAAATATCACCATTAAAAGCAACAAAATCGTAAAAGGTTCTCAGAATACTTATAGATTTTTCAATGTTAAAAAGAAACTAATATTATATTATTTAACCACAGTTTAAAATGTTAGTAATACTTAACTTTTGCGTTTATATGACATAGTTGCTAAAATTTTGTAATTTAGAACAAAAATTTTCAAAAACAATGCAATGCATGATAAATTGCTATTTTATATGATCATTGTTAAATAAGAAATTTAGGATATATACGTTTTTAGCAATATCTTGTCACATTTATTAATGTTTACCCCAGTAGGAGACGAAAAAGTCCATGTACCAAAGCCAAGAAACAATATATTGTTACCGTAAAAGTTTTAGTAACGACAATAAAAAAGGGTTAAAAAGAAAGAGACAGTTAAGATTTGATTTCAAGTATAGTGCGTCTGTGTATCCGCTTATACGTATTTCGGCCTAATAGGCCTCTCCAAAACGGCAATTCACAGTCGCTCTGAACGTGAAAATAAATCCCTTTTGTCGTAGGAAGCAACTCGAACATGGCTTTAAGTTGACGTAAATAGCGACATCTGATGTAAAATCCGTAAACTAATTTTCATATAATAATAGCATCTTTATCAACGTCTGGTTTGCCTTGCAATTCTAAGAAGGCACAGATTAAAGCAATAATCTGAATATGGTTTTGAAAACTAGTTTATAAAATTGTTTTAAATTATTACAAGATACGTACTTCGAATAATAGTTTGTTTGCAGTCCAGATAATTCATCCTCAAAGGCCCTAAAGAAACCAATAGATATGGAAGATAGAGTACCAAAGACTAAGAAGGCTAAACCAGTTTTTGTATATTTTTTAAGCATCCAGAATATAAATGGTGACAAAATATATAATTGCATGTCTACGTCCAGGTACCATGTATGTCCAGCGCACTAAAATAAAAAATGATATTGTTATTAGTCAAAACGCTCTAATTGCGACCCTAACATAACGGTAATTTTTGTTGAATTACCCACTTTGTAAGCAAATTTCTCGAACTGTTTATCCGTATTTTTCTAGAATGTCGTACTGATTCGTATTGATTCAGTATTTGTACCGTCAATGGAATACTAGAACGTATTTATGTTCGTATATACAGATCACAACATTGTTTTATTGACCATATTGGCAATCGCTGTGACATGTTACACGTTTTCACCTCTATATTCATTTTACAGTAGGTACGAATTATCGTAATTTTCATATTGACACTAAAAATTTCAAAAGAAGTTCTAAAAAAATAAACAAACAATTGGGCTCCCGGTCCGTCAGACCGGGAGCCCATTCTGTCTCCGGCTTCTTCACAATATGTAGCTTCGCCATATAAATTTTAAAGTGTTTGTTTGTCTTAGTGTAGTGTATTTTGTATTGTTATGTCCAGTTTTTACATTTATGACATTCTAGTATGTCGGATAGTCCACAATTGACGAAGTAAGTCTATAAACGTTTATCACATATAAAAAAATTTTTTTCAACCATAAACTTGGAGTTTTTTATCCAAGTGAATTAATTTTCCTGATTATAAAAAACGTTTCTTGGCTTATTTCAGATGCCCCTGAAGATGATCTATTGATCGAAAGCGCTTGGGCAAGATTAAATTAATCACCGTGTTCGATAGTTGCCTTGTATACCCTCAAAGTTTAATTATTCGAACATTCAACCTTATATTGAAACAATTAATAAACTGCCTATTACGTTGTAAACCGTCCAAGAAAAAGTGCAACTTGTAACATGGAACTTTCAGGGTCATTCGATACGCAAAGTAATTGATTTATTTATTTTCTTCGAAAATAGACTCCCTCCAAGTGTTTCAACAGTTAAAAAATTTAATAAACTTCGGGATGTGTAAACAGTTGTAAAAAGTGTCATAAAGGTAATAAATCATGTGTTAAACCTGTCAATGAGGAGCGTCAAAACAGGATATAGTTATTTGTGCTTTTGTGGAAGTTAGTGAACCCTGCAATAGTGTACAAATTGCTAGGGAAGTTAACGTGAATGCTCAAACTGTCCAGCAAGTTCTCAAAAGGAATAGGTGTCACTGTTTTAAGATACAACCAACAAAATAACTGTTTCTATTGGATAACTTTAGGCGGATGGGATTTTTGTGAATTTATGTTAGATAAACAGAATAAAAATGTACACTTTATAAATAATATTTTATTTTTGGGAAGAGGAATATTTGAGCCCTTATTTCATTAATCTGCTTTCCTAATATTTAGTTTTCGTTAATTACATTTTTACGAATTTTGTAGGTTCTTAATTAGGTAGTATTTTTTGTATGCTCTATTGTAGACAATAAAGCATATTACTTATTTACTTACTTATTTATTTGTATTGCTATTGAGGCTAAAAAATAACCAAAAAATTAGTTTTAAAGCATTATAATAAATATACCCTAGAGATGGGATTGCAATAATAATAATAATAATTCGTAATAATAATAATTCGTAATAATAATTCGTATGGTCAACAAAATATTGTCGTTATCTATATAAACCGCTCGGCTCTTTTGAATAAACAGTAATTAGATAAGTATCTTTGTAAGCGACATCCATATTATTGTATAAATAGGTGAAAATTTTTAGTTCATTTATAATTGCTAATGAGATATTTGTTATTTGGTAATTTTTTGGTAGTAAGTTAAATAAACTTAGTTCAACTACCTGTACTTCACATAATCGCTGCACAGAAAAACATAGAAATTGGTACCAAAATAAGTGAGATAAAGTGAAAGAAGTTATTGTCGAGAATTTATAAGGTAAAAAGAAGAAAAGAGACCGAAATAAAGAAAATTCAAGATATGATTACCGCAATAAAATAAGGTCGTCTAGAAGAAAAAGAGATTAACGAAAATTAACGAAAAACGACAAAAAGAAAAAGAAAAACGTCAACAAGAAGGTAAAGCCTTGGTCAGGAAGACAGATAATTGCCCATGAGTCTTTTATTAAAAAGAGAGGCCTTAAAAGTAAGTTAAGAAGAGATGAAAACAAAAATCGAAGGGATAAAAAACACATTATTAAAGAAGTTAAATAACAAGAGGTCTAGTAAAGGAGAGCCATGATGATATAACGAGATCCCTTAAAAATATTCGCCCAGATATTGAAAGGCCCAAGAAATTGAGAGTTGAATGTAAAGCAGAAGTCAACGAAGTAATTAAGCTTCCTACATTTAACGGTGAGACTTCCTGATTAGTATATAAAAGACAATTCGAAGTCGCTGCACAAAATAATGTATTGACATAATATGAACAGAAATCAACAGCTCTCATATTTAAACTTTAATGTCAGGTAATTAAAATCCTCCAAAACATCCCAAATGACGCAAAAAAGAACTATGGGTCCGTCTCATCGGCTTTTTAAGTAAGATATTGCAGCCAATATTTGAAGCAAGTATACCGGAGTCAACTTAAAGTAAGTCTGCAACACTTTAACAAATCTGTGCAAGAATACAGAGTGGTAGTAGAAAAGTTGGCACCACTGGCTTGGCCCGAAGCCCTGAAAGAGTTCCTATACCAATTTACTATCCAATGTTTTCTTAATGGCCTGCACGATGTAGATTTCTAGCAGTCACAACGACTAGGAAAAGAATGCAACCGAATATTAAAGGACGTTATTATTGTGGAATTGGAGTACGGAGTAAGCAATATAAATACGCTGCCCCAGGTGTTAGCCACCCAATTCGAGACATATCTCAGCCCAATAGCTAATTCTTTAAAACGAAGCACAAGACAAGAGGACATAAAATCGACCAGCAGGCAATATCCGCAACAGCGATGCAGTCTCAGGTTCTCAACGTTGCACAATAAGACGAAGCTGCAACAGTTTAGGTGCCCATGGATTTCTCAATAGTCACCGAGTAGGAAGAAGTCATGGGGATGCCTACGGCCTCTAGAAATTATCACGCAAAGAGTGCAATTTTCGATTCTGCGAGCGCCAAGAAGAACGAGAGGGGCCAAATTCGATAGATGAAAACCATAGGATGAAAGCAATGAAAAAGCTCTAACCAAGAAAAACCTCCAGGCTGAGCAGATGATTTTGGTTGTGTTGTAGTTAACTTTTAGTGCACATTTAACACTTTTACCGTGAGTTTTGTAAATAACATAGTAATTTCTTCTGGAGTAAAGGCCAGAAGTGTAGTGTCGTCTGAAAACTCTAGTTAGATATTTTAAAACTACCTAGGTTTACTCCTTCCTCCCAAACATCCAAGACTCTGTGCATTATGAACTCTAAATAGTTGTTAAATAATAAGGGAAATAAAATGCATTCTTAGCGTACTATTTTCTCCAAAGTGCATTCGTTAGATAGGTATTCATTGATATAAGGTTGAATGCTTGAATAAATGAACTTTGATCAAATGAAAAGGCAGATATCGAGCACAGTTTAATAATTAAATCTTGCTCAAGTACTTTCGCTTCCTAGAGCATTTTTAATTTTGGTTTGTTCAACAAAATGTTGAGAATATCGTAGTGTAATGTACAGATTTATATTTATAACATTATATGATTGTTGGATAGGCCAAAATTGACGAAATTCTGTCTTTTCATTTAATCAAAGATAGGTATTCGTCCATTCGAATATATGCCAGGTTATCTTAATACGGTTTGCTCATAAGGTGAGTCAAGTGTTTCTTCTTCTTAGAATGCCATCTCCCTACAGAGGATGGCAATCATAATGGCTATTTTTATTTTAGAACTTGCTGCTCTGAAGAAATCAATCGATCTGTATTGATACCAACCACGTAGATTTATTTAACCATGAGTTCTGCCTTCGGCCCACAGATCTACTTCCTTGAATCTTTTCCTGTATTATGAGTCTCAAAATTTCATATTTTGGTCCACTCATCACCTGGCGTAAGTATTTCAGTTTTCTGGTTTGTATAGTGGTGATTGGTTCGGTTTCTTTACCAACCCATTTTCAGTACTTTATTTGTAATTCTATCAGTACATGATATTTTCAATACTCTGCGGTATAACCAGAGTTCGAAGGCCTCGATTCTATTAAAATTACATTTTTAAATCATTTTTAATGTCTAAGCTCCATTTAATAATATTGAAAATATATAACAGCGAATGGCACGTAGTCTGATCTCCAAATTTAGACTTTTGCACGTTAGGAGTGGCTTCATTTATATAAATGCTGATCTGGCAAACTGTATTCGCCTTTTATTTCTACAGTATGATAATTGGTTTCATTGGTCAAAGTTCCCAAGTACTGATATTTTTCTACTTGTTCTATCACGTTACCATTGATTGTCACTAGTTGATGTATATTTTGTGGTCTTTTTGTAATTAGCATGTACTTCGTTTTTTTAGTGTTTATAGTAATTCCCATCTCAGCACTATTCATACTCAAGCTTTCGATAAGATGTTGTAAATCCTCTATACTCGTTGCTATGATCAGAGTTTCGTCTGCATATCTTAAGTTGTTAATTAATTTTCCGTTAACGGCGACTCCCGCTTTGATATTATTGAGCGTGTTTTGAAAAATTTCTTCAGAATATAAGTTAAACAAAAGTGGCGATAAAACACATCCCTATCTAACTCCTCTACAGATCCTCATTTCTTCTGAGTATTGCCCATCAATTAGAACTATAGCACTTTGGTTCCAATATATTGTTTGCACTGTATTTATGATTTTACTGTCAATGCGCTTGTTCATAAGTAATGATATTAGTTTTTCATGTCTTACTTTATCGAAAGCTTTTTCGTAGTCAACGAAGCACAAGGTTAGATCAACATTTACATCCCGACATCGCTGAATCAATATGGTGATGACAAATAATTCTTCTCGAGTACCCATTCCATTTCGGAACCCGAAATGCGTCTCGCTAAATATCCTCCTCTAACCTTTCGTATATTCCCTTATGAATTATTTTTAGCAGAACTTTTAAAGTATGACTTATGAGGCTCACTGTTCGATAATCAGAGCACTCTTTTGTGGCTTGTTTTTAGGACTTCAATTTTTTGGGTACACTTATTGTTGTCAGTATGTTTCATAGTTTTTCCCACATAACATTATCAAATGTCTTTGTATAATCAACGAAACATAAATATTAGGATATGATATTTTCTGAGCTTTCTAGACGACGTTTCAGGATGTATAAGATCACCTTACTGGCGTGTGATATTACTGATAGTCTACACGTTGGTACAATTATTTGTTGGACTTATCTTATGTAGAAGTATAATTATGGTCTTTCTCTGTATATATGTCAATACCAATATCCACACTGCTACATTATGATCTAGGTTTACTCTCGTAGGTACGCTTAATGTAATTAACTTAATAAAGATATCGATTAGTACTTACCATTTGATCAGAATTGACCTCATTTTGAATATACAAAATAGATGTCCACCAATATTGCGTACAAAATCCTTGAAAAAACTGAACAAAATTGGGCCACTTAGGTCCTGATCCCATGTATTTCAGAAGAGTGGCTGACACTAATACTACACCTGCTAATGCAGGAGTTAACCTAAAAATTGTAATTTGATGTATACGTTTGAACTTAGGTTAACATTTTAAATATATTGTTATAAAAAATAAACAAAAAAATAAATGATGACATGGAAACAAAAAATCTGACATAGAGGGATAAAGGTAAAAGAAACAATAATTAAGCAAACGTTGCTATATGTAATATTAGGGAACAACAAAATGGAATCCCACAAGGATCGATTATAAGTCCTACTCTATTTTTAATAGCAATAAACGATATAATAAAAATCATTGCGAAACCTGTTCAGGCAAGACTATATGCTGATGACCTGATTCTTTACATCAAAGGAAAGAACGTTAATAATGTGGCGTCAATAATACAAGAACACTTAAATAAATTAGTAAATTGATCCCTAAGGTCTGGTTTTAATTTTTGTTCCAATAAAAGAAAATGTATACTATTTTCAAAGAAACATGAAATAAAGTTTCTAGGAATGATATTTGATCAACAGTTAAAATCAATGTATAGATCAGTAAGTTCTTTCATGTCGAAATGACATTTATTTGTTAAAGTACTTAGATCACAGAATTTGAAATGCTGATGGTACAACACTGCTCATTTTTTATATAGATCCTTAATTCATTCCAAGATGGATTACGGATGTATTGCATAGGCATCTGGATTATAATTGGGGCATACCGAACAACTCCGATAAATAGCATACAAGCTGAAATAGGTGAACCTACTCTGAAGCTTCGTAGACAGCTGTTAACCCTAAACTACGTTTCTAACATAAATGTAAATGAATAAAATTCAAATGAATGACTCGTCAAACTTCAATCTTCCATATTCTTGCAGATGCTTAACCCCTGCTTAACTGAAAGCAATTTCCACCCTTATATCAATACAAAAATATATCTTTATGTCCACCTTGGACTGTTAAAATTCCAATACTTAACTCTAGTCTATTGCAATTCCAAAAAAATTGCACTAATCCTAATCTTATCATACAGCACTTCGGAGATCTAATTAACTCTCATTCCGATTACACAGTATAATACGCGTACATACATAGACGCGTCTATAATTACAAATAGAGTCAGAGTGGGAATAATTAACAACACAGAGATTCTCAAACATAGAATTCCAGATACTGCAATCGTATTCACAGAACTTTATGAAATCTACCAAGCATTACTGCATGCAAATGCGAATAAGGTGAACAAAATGTTAATCGTGACAGATTCTATGTCATCAAGAATAAACTAAATTAAATACTAAAGATATAGGTAGTTTTCTATGGGTCCCATTACTTGTTGGAATAGTAGGGAATGAGCAGCCGACCGAAATGCCAAAGAAGCCATAAATTATAACAGTACCCAAAGTTCTCTCCAGTCTGTTAGTATGGATCTAAAAAGCTACTTTATGAAACATATTTTCGAGATCTGGGACAATAAATGGAAATCCACAGCTTCAAAGCTTCAGGAAATACAAAATAAAATTGGACCATGTATCTAGACGTAAGCAAATGATCATTTTCCGTTTACGACTTGAACATTACTAGCTTTTCCCATAAACATGTGTTTAAAAGATCAGAACGCCCAATTTGTGATCAGTGCGGTTCACGCCTTACACTAAAACATGTGCTATTGGAAAAGTGCGAAAAGAATATCCATAGAACTAAATACCATTTACCAAACAATCTTTTTAAAGACACTTTAAACTCAAATAAAAATATTGATCTTCGCATAATTATGTTGCCTCAATAAACCCCTCAACTCCTATCGAAACCATCTGAAAAAACATCCGAAACCTTAAAGGATCAAACAACTACATCAATATTAATACTCTTTCTTACAATAATAATCTTGTTGCAGACAAGAAAGACATCTAACGTATTAGCCGATGTGTATCAACTAAATTCTAGTGATAGCAACCTAAACTCAAATTTCATTAAATACAAAAATCATGAAGAATCCTTTAAAATTTCAATTTATGACAGCAAATCGCCCGTAAATGAAAACATAACTCAACAAGAATTTGATTATGTTCTAAACTACCTTAAAAATACCACTTCTGATTCAGATGATATTCCATCTATTTTCTTGAATATATTTCAAAATCAGCTAAACTTATCCTCCTAGAACTATTTAACTCAATATTTTTCAATAATATATTTCCCAAGATACGGTGCCATGCAATTATTATCCCAATTCTTAAACCCAACAAACCTAAAGACGATCCATTGTCATATCGTCCAATCTCCTTGACATGTAGTATATGTAAACTAATGGAAAACAATATAAATAACAGACTGGTATGGCATCTAGAAAACTCAATGTTATTATCCCCCTAGCAAAGTGGTTTTCGTAAAGGCAGATTCACTATCGACAAATTAGTATCGCTTGAGTCTGAAATCCATGAAGCATTTCTACACAATCAAAAATGACTAGTTGTCTTTATTGATATTAATAAAGCTTTCGACACTGCATGGAAATATTAACATCTTAAAAACACTACAAAAATTTGAAATTGAGGGTCACACACTAGCTTTTGTATAAAAGTTCTTAACTCAAAGACATATTGAAGTAAAAGCTAATGGTTATAACTCTAGTCCACGCTCTCTTAAAAATAGAATTACGCAAGGCTCCATTTTAAACTCAACATTGTTTCTAATTGCAATAATATAACATCTTGGACGAAATGAGATTACTGATTAAAGCCAATTTATACGCAGACGACTTGATATCTAGCACAAAAACAGAAGTGTGGAATGTGCGGCTGAAATAATACAGAAGTTTTTCCATACACTGGAAAACTGGTCAATTAAAACTTGTTTTATAACTTTTCTCATGAAAAAACATGGTGCATAATATTCAGCAAACGGAAAAATATAAGGAACATTAAACAAACTTCAAATGGACATACTCTAAAAGAAACAAACAAAATAAATTGCCTGGGGTTAACTCTAGATTGCACCCTTAACTGGAAAATCCATGTACATAACTTGCAAAAAACAATGATAACCTAGAAACTAATCTTCTGAAAAATTCTCTCAAACCCTACGTGGGGAGCAGACACAAGAACCCTATTAAACTTATAGCAATTACTTATACGTAGCAAATTAGACTACGGTTCAATATATTAGGGTACTGCCAAAAAAAACTACATTAAAAAACTAAATTAAATTCAAACAACGTCACTAAGAATTGCTCTGTGCGCATTTAGAACTAGCCCAACAATAGCACTTCAAGTATTAGCTAACGAATTACTCTTATATCATCAAATCAACAAAATTCTATGTATTCAAATATCTTAAAAAACTAAGTGGATCAGTAATTACAAAAATAAACCTATCAATACGCTCCCTTTTCGTGAAAGAATTAAATTTAGTGGTTACTGTGAGCAGTTTTAGTGCCATTATAAATCCAACTCAAAACTTTCCATCTTGGTCAACTAGTCCACCAATTATTGTAAATACATCGCTTACTCGATATCCCAAAACATTCACTAACTCAACAGTAATACATCAATCATAGCATGAAATAATATCCCTACATCCAAATTCTGAACATATCTACACTGCTTCATCAAAAAACTCAATCAGGACTAGCAGCGGCTTACATACATGGATCAGGACCATTTTAAAATACGACTCCCTCTGTTGTAGCATATTAAGAAGAAACGACCATAAAAGCTCCATTAAAAAAATATATTCCCAACTTATGGCAGTTGTAACTAGAATTCCACATCCAACAAATTAAAAGATGGTATAGAAACTGTCGTGTACCACCTTACCACTCCCACTCAAACGTTGTGAACAAGTGATAATAAGTCGACTACGATTAGAACATACTATACAAACCTATATTCATTTAATAAATAAGCCATCCCTTTCTGCCATAACTGCAAGATCCAAATAACTATGAAACATATTGTGTTAGAATGCCAAAACATACACCCAAGAAAGCAGAAAAAATAAACTATCTACCAACATGTAAGGATCTACTAAGCTGCCAGTTCAACCAGTGCTGACATATTTAGAAGACATTAAATGTTACAGTGTTTAATAGAGTTTAAGATAAACTTAAGAGGTCGCTGGTTAAATGATATTGGAGCAATAATTATAAAGAAAAAATGTTATATTTGTTTGTACATAAAATTAGCGAAAATAGCAACTATCAATTGTGAATAAATTATGAAATCAACTGGTTCTACTCATTATCGTTGTTTGCACAAAGAACATAGACTTATCCTTTGGTTCTATTGATGTATTCTTAACAGGAATGGAGAGTTTGTCGCGGTTATACCGACGCTAGCGTCGCCGAGGCTAAGCACGAGAACCGTCCAAATTAGGTCCGTATCGATCGCTGTCTTACGAAGAAATAAAGTGCGTTGAGATGGTCAGAGCTAAGGAGCCCTCTAAGTGGTGGTCCGAGAGGGTGAACAATAAATAATTCTATTGTCGGACGATTTTGAATGGCGATAGTTTAAAGTTAATTGCTACAGTAATACGAAACCTTACACTTGTTTCAATCTTGTGACACAGAATACAAAGGAAAAAGCCAAATTCTGCGTACTTCAAACATGATAAATGAGATAGCCAGTTTAAGTTTTACGAAATAACAGGAAATAATATATTTTAAAAAGGTTCTTAGAATGCAGCACTAAATTAGATCACATTACAGTACCGTAACAGAAAAAATATTAACTGTAAAATATAAAAAGAATTCGTTCATACTTTCCCAAACAAATAGAATATATTGTTTTAAATTATTAAATACTTGTAATTTGTGTTTGTACCCCCTGCTAATAACTCTGAGTAGTTGATGAAGGGTTATTTTTGTTTAAATAACAAAAAACAATATTGATAAACTACTTTTGTTTTTAAAAGATTGTAATTTAACAAGTAAAGTGTAATTAATTGTTACCGTTCCGCTAATAACCTAATTAGGTTAAAGCGGTTTTTTTTGTAAATAAAAAAAAACAACTGATAGATATATTTTCGTAGTTGTATTTTCGAGGAAAAACCTTGTAGTTGTGGTGCAAAAAGTAGCGTTCATTCTTATTAAATTTACAATATTGATTAAATAAAATTTTCAGGATATGTACGGAGTTTATATAGACGAGAAACTAATAAAGAATAATATTTCTACCCAAAAAGTATATAAATGCTAATAAGGCAAACAAAGTATATATTCTCAGTAATTTATGGAGGACTGCAATAAGGAATAATATGCAAATGTTCTCTATCCGGGTGAAAGAAGCAACGGTAAAGGTCATAGTACAAGAACTTTATGTTTTCTGCGTAAAACGTTTACCTCATGTATCTGTGAAAATAATGTCTGGCTACACTGGAGACGTTTATTTCACTCGACTTTTCTTTCTTGAAAAACACGTAAGTAACTAAAGTGCCTCCTACAATTAGGAACGTATCACAGGCTAAACTTCCATTTAGGAAAACCATGCTGATGAGCGAATTGGTAAGCTGAAAAAGATAAGAAAATAAAAAATATCTTTGTGTTACCGGTTTACAGAATAAAATAACAAAAGTTATTTAAAATATAATCTCTAATAATAAACTTATACAGTATGATGAAAATGTATGGAATAAATTCATTATTTTTTTCTACAGAGTTCACCAAAATTATGAACTTTGTTAAGTAACATGGAATTACAATGAATATTCATGCACTGAACTAAAATAATACATTAAGAAACGCCACTGAGAATAAAACAATGTTTTTTATTGTGAACTCTATTAACTGAAATTAATAATATTGTATTAGGTAAGTATTCCAAGTTATTTTTCAAAAATATTTAAATCAATATTGTGATTGACTCGTATTTATTTGTCAGTGATCTGTGAATCTGTCAAATAATAGACGTCAAATTTTTACTCTTTGAGTTTTTGCCGACATTAATAATAGCATTTACAAAATAAAACTAACAGAAACAGAACGAATCGAGATTTTAATCATGATTAGTTATGGTGATAGAGAGAGGACTAAAGCAGAAGTTCGTAATTTATTGAATGCTAAATACCCCAATTACTCAATCAACAGTAAGTAAAATTAAAAAAAAATAGAGAAACGAACCATGTTAAAGATCTTCCCAGAAGTGGTAGAAAATCAATATCTGAAGCCAAGAAACTGGACGTTGTACTGGCGTTTTAAGAAAATTCTCATACCAGTTCTGGACAGGTCGCACTAGATAATATTGTCCAGCAATCAACTGTTATAAGAGTGCTACAAAATAAAAAAGTGGCATTCATACAAACTACATTTGGTCCAGGAGCTATTAGAAGATGACTTTGATAGAAGAATCAAATTCTGCGAAACCGTTATCAAATAATGTAACAGAGATCAGGATTTCATACAAATGGTACTTTTTTCTAATGAAACATCTTTTATTCTGAACGGTCACGTAAATCGCCAGACATATCGATACTGGGCAAGTGAAAATCCACATTGATAAAAGAGTATAGGACACAATATCCCGAGAAGGTGAATGTTTGGGCCGGCATTATAAAGAATCAAATTGTAGGCCATTTTTTTTTAGGAAAACTTAACTGCTTCTCGTTATCTAGAATTTCTTCAGGAAAATCTGTTGCCACAGCTAAATCAGCTATTTCCAAATAGAAATGATTTGTGGCACCAAAATAATAATACTCCTCCACACTACGACGTTTTACTAACTTTACTTTTGTTTTTATTTAATATTGTTGGTATTAATTTCCCACTTTGCAAAATGCACAAACCTACCTATCCACAAAAATTTCCCGTTTCTCTTTTTAATTTTCAATTAAAATATTTAAACATGTAGAAATTACCAAAATAACTATCCACAGTAAAAACAAGTAACAAAGTAGTGGCAACATATCCTAAAGATTTTTTAAATCAATTAAAACTCGATTATCTCAGTTTGTCACTATTGGTGAGGGTTGGTAGCTTTCTGCATAACGCCGTCCATATAATTCTTCCTTCAGGTTCCAATAAAACTTACTAAAGTGCATTCAGAACCATAGAGCAATAAGACAAAAGAGGGAATCTAATCGTTATGAAAAGGAGACCAAAAAGTGGCCTCTGATGGCGGACATATCCGGAAATGCGAATGCGCCAAATTTAAATTTTCCGACACTTATCAACAGTAGCTATATAATATTTTTCAGAATGTGTCTTAGACGAGAAAGTTTTAATTAATTATTAATGATAAGAGTCTAAAATGCGACACCATTGTTAAAAAACTTCATTATAAATAAGATTTTATGTGACATTTGGGACAAACAATAACATAACAGAACTAAATTTGATGTCAAACAAGGAGAGAGACTCTCTTTCCTTGTTTAATGTGGCCTCTAAAGATCGCACTTCCTGTCTAACAATATGTTTCCCCCCACTACCTTTACATTCCTCTTTATTGTCTTTTTGCTCGATGATTCAGACTAATAAAATTTAAATTTTAGATTAGTGTTAAGGAGGTTGCTCACTGGGTTAGCTCTCTACATGTCAGTATATTTAATAAAACGAACGCTTATGTCATGGGAGCAGATTGCTGTAAATATATATATATATAATATATATATATATATATATATATATAAATGGTGTACACACTGGTGCCACTTCCCTACTTACGTCACATCATATATGTGACTCTTTAAAGCTTAAAAGTATGGTTGAGGAATAAAGAACCATTTTCTTATTGCATTATAGTTTTTCACTTAGCTCGTTTTATATCTTCCTTGATAAGTCATAACTTCTTGTAAAAAGGCTTGCAAATAAATTAAGTTTGCTGATATTTACTTATTAGTATAATGCGTATTATTTTCTATAGGTTATTCCATTTAAAGCTGTTTAATATTTTCCCCACTGTAAGTGGTAATTGGCGTAGACAAGTTGGAGAACTTGCTCAGATATTAAATATGAGCGTGAAAAGTGTACATTCTATAATTTCAAATCTTGGCTATAAGAAAGTTGATACGTAATGCTGACTGCTGACTGACAAAGCAAGATTTTTTGTCCTGGCTCATCATTTTAACATTAGATGAGTTATGGTGTGGAATCTTGTAAAGAAAAAAGGTAATTTTAAATATTCCTTTGGTAACAAAGGTAACATGCTTCCTTATTTAAAAGATATTTGACTTAAGATTAAAGTTAAGCGATTTGTAGACATCTTTTAAAACGCCTATGCGTCAACATTAAGAATAACCGTTACGAAAAGCTCTTTAGCAGTGCTGTGTTTATGCAATACAATACAGTAAAACAAGTAGGGAGTGTAGACATCTGCTTTACAGTTTTGATTTATCATTGTTTGATTATGATATATTTTGTATATTGTCACTAAAATTGGTCAGATTATTTCGTACACAGATAAAGCCTTTGATATCAAGGAACAATTCTTCAAATAACTAAAATGATTATGTCAGTACAATATTTACAGATTATACTTGTTTACAATAAATAATTAAATGTACCTAATATTTTATTAAATTACGAAACTTACATTAACAACATCTTTGGAATTAAAAACTGGTCCTGTTGTATATACAGAATAAGTATGAAGCATTACGATCCAAATCATACTAATCACTCTAATACCATCTAAGCAACTGAGAGGAGATAAACGTTTTGGAACTTGAAAAAGTTTTTTTCCATTTGTGTATACGGAAAATGCTGTAGAAGCCGATTGTTGATAATCTAAAACAAAAATTAAATATATTATTTTAAAGCTATTTTCTTGTGACATTTTAAAGTATTTACTATTTAAATGGGAATAAGCCACAATTGAAGGTTAAAATAAGTTTATTGACGTTTCAATTTCCACTTCTGGAATTGTTCTGAATATACAAACATTAATAAATGAACATATTCCAAGTAAGCGAAATACATTGGATTAGAATATCGTTCAAACATGACAATTGGGGGGACTTTGGAACTAGCAAGTATGGAACTCAGCCACTATTTTAAGATGCTGGGAAATGATGACGATGAAGATTATTTTACAGCCTAACATAAATAAGTTTGTATAAATGGCACTATAAGAATGTGAGCTTTTATATAATATTACGCCTATATATCGTATATTGACGGAAATAAACTAACCTATTAGACAATTTTTTTTTAAATTCTTTCTTCATATTTTTTTTTAAATGCAGAATATGATGAAAACTTGCGAAATATTTAAAGATCAAAATTTATGCAAACCCAAAAAACTTGGGTTTGCATAAATATTTATTTTAACATTAGGCGCCCTTGAGAATTCCTAAAAATGACTACAGAACGCCATTTACAGGTTATTGGCTCGATCTACTAGTACACCATTAAAAATATTTCCATTAAAATACTACAGAATCCGGTTCGCTATTCATCAATTCTTCTCTATCGTAAACAACTTTTGATAATTCACTATTTAGGAATTGCAAATCACACACTTACCTAGTTTTAATATGCGAATATGATATTATAAATTTATATGCGTATTAATTCTTTTGTAGAGCAATGAACTGGTCAAGTACGTTTGAGAATTAAATTGACTATGGATTTAAATTTTAAATTTTTTATTTTGTTTAAAAACATTTAAAAACATTTCTTCTGGTATCTCTTCAGACAGATCTTCGAAAAAAGTTGCTTTCTATGAAAGAATTCTCATCTTCTAAGAAAGTCACAGTAATTTTGTATCATCTGTATCATCGAATTCTGTATCATCGAATAATATTTTAGACCACAATACCTGCGTAGTCAAAATGTCCCCCATACACAATTATCCTACCTTGAGTCAACACACCAATCAACAAATAAAATAAAAAAGCTTTTCACAAAGTCAAAAGGCAGAATAAAGGAATTAAAGAAAAAATTAAAACAGTCTATATAAACAACAAATAGAAAAATTAAGAGCGTGACGGGGTTGGATTTTCTCAAATCTGCTGTTTTACAATTAGATAGAAAAGACCTTTCAACTTGCACAGCAGAAACAAAAGTTATCAAAATAAATGGAATTCCCATGAATAATTTGAGATATGGCGATGATCAAGCTATCATATCAGACAACATAGAAGACACTTAAGAGATAGTAAGTATTATTAATGCAGTGGGAGAGGAATGTGATCAGCAGGAAAAAAAGTAGAAAATACCCTGTAAACAAACCTTGCATTTTGACAGTTGTTAATTACCTATACATACTAACTATTAATAACCATCATTTTTTCTTCTTAGTTCTTTTTTAAAATGTATCATCAGCTTTAACAAAAATCTATAAATTTTTCCCTACCTGGTTCATATATCATCCATGGCACTATCAGACTGATATTTCTCTTAAAAGTAAAACTTTTAATTGTTTTTACAGTTTCGAGATGAAATATTTCTTCTGAGGTTACGACACTGTATTGAGGTACACCGTGGTTCTGGACGTTTATTTTCGCCAAGTTGTCCCTTGGACGGTTTTTAAAGTTTTTATGGACTACGTCATATATGTCCGTCACCTGCTCATCTGGCAACACAGCGCTCACAGCACCATGTAACTTCGTCAAATGTCTCGAAATATTCCTAAACTGTTTTAAAGGTACTGGAGGTTTAGCGTCCCATTCGCCCAACTGATCCCCTTTTAACGTATTTATTATAGACAATACCTTTGTCTCTAATTGGCGAATATAATGCCCAATATCTTTCTCAACCAAATTAAAGCCACTTGACGCCTTGATGCTGAGTGTTTTAAAATGTGCCTTAAGTAATGGTATCATCCATACTAAAAATTGTAAATACCTTAATGCTAATGCTCAATTAGTTGAAGTTATAGTCTTTAATCCTGCCGTTCTAAGAGCACCTGCACCTAATACTAATTGACAGGATCGTGAGTTAAAGGTTTTGAGCAGATCAGTCAGATTTCTGGGTACCACAGGAGCCAATAATTGAAGTCGTAGGAGAGCACCGATAGTGTAGTAGGTTTGAGTACCGATTTTGATATATTGGGTTGATTTTAAATTATACCGGCTCGTTGTTATATCTTCTTCGCTCGAAGAAGACGTTAGGAACTTGATAGGCTCTCCTGAAGCTAATTTATCTACCAATTATCTACCAATCTATATTCTCGAAGATAATTTGGCCACTTTTCATCTTTTAGCATCTAGTAACTTATTTTTTCGTTGTGATTAAAACATTTCCGTAAAAGTTTAGACAACATTAAGTAGTTCTGTAACTTGAGCAGATGTTACTGTTTGTTTATCCAATTAAGTATTGACTATAGATGGAATTCTCTCATTGCAGTAAAATCAAACTGAACTATGGAGATCACGTAACTTTTATTCTATATGATTGTGTTCCTCGAGTGTGGGGAAATTTTCTGTTGGCGTGGAGGGTATGCTTGTTAATATATCCATTAATGATAGGGCGGCACTGGCTGCTGCAGTTTCTTTGATGATATTATGAACAGCTTTCATACGTTCCACAGTTTTCGTTAAGGCCACACTTGCAGATCTAATAACCCGCAACCAATGGCTGCGTCCATACTTGGTGCTATTTCTTCGGATCCAGTCAGCTTGTTAAGTTAATGAAATCTGCGTACGCTAACTGTTCGATTATATGTTGTTGAAGAAGGGCTTGAGCTGCTGTGACCACTTCCAGTTTATAAACTTCTAAAAAGTGCAAATGATTTGGTCTCAGTAGACCAGCCATTAAGATTACTAATCTTTCGGATTCTAAAACACCTGCACTTTCAAAATCTAATGGTCTATACAGATCCGCATCAGCGTAGCGTTCAAATTCAGCGCTTAGTATTTTGGCTATCAGTTTTGGCATTTGCTTTAGCTGAGAAGGAAGTTGTCTAAGATTTGTGATCCCAGCTAACTCTTTAGCTAAAACTTCTTACGTACCGGATATAAGTTCCAAAGCACCTACGTAATCTGAAAGACTCAGCAAAAACTGTAAAGTTGGCTGAGTTTGCAACACTGTTGCCATTAATTTGTATTTATCAAACAAAATCACATCATTGGATTTTAATCTCGCTAATCCAACTAGTCTCAAGAAATTTCTAGCCAAGGCTTTATCCACGCCTCTTTGTACTTTAAATAGCAGGCATTTTACTTCCCCTGTAGCAATGCCCATTTGCTCCATAATACTATCATGGGATGTCATAGCATGGAAGAATGCACTAGATTTTTGAGATACTTATTGATCAATTTGTTCTTCTACTATATCTATATAATGATTGAGCTCATCTTTTAATTCAGGTTCAGTTTTCTTTGTCTCAAAAACGTCTTGAAATATTTTTGGATCATGTAAATTCAGATGCTACCTTAAATATATGTCAGGAATGCCTTCAGGGTTCAGACTATAGGTTTTGATTTTTGTATGATTAATCTTAAACTTTATCCTTTTATTATCACTGTGATTTTTGTACCGTTTTCCATATTTTTTCAAGGATGAAAACACAGTTAAAAATAAACTACCAACTTACAAACAGAATTGAAAAAAAAATTAAAATCTCGGAGTTATCTTAAACAGTAAAAGGGAATGCAACGGAGAAGTGAAGATACGAGCAGCAATAGCTACTACCTTTGTCAGTGCTGCGAAACTGATTTAAATGTCCGTATTCTTATACGAAAATGCTATATTATGGCCAATAATATTATTATAAGGTCGCGAGACATGGTCACGTAAAGTAAACGCTAAACCTTGTTGAAGCGTTCAAAATCTGATATCTCAGAAGGTTGAAGATCAGCATAAACGTCTACACACTGCATAGCGTACGGCATCGTGAAGGCATGAAGAAGAAGAAGAACGTACACAAAGACATACAAGTTTATTTATACAGAATAATAATTTTTAACCATCTTAAATCTTCTTTCACAAACTTGTAGCATATTTACAGGGAAAGAAATAGCACTTAAATTTTATCAAGGAAACTCCAATCCAGGAAACAATGTTCTCATAATTTCAGACTACCTTAGCTCCTAAAGATTAAGTTTAAAACAATTATACTTACGTCATAAAATTCAACGAGTAAATACAAGACTAAAAATACAAGAGTATGAAATACAAGACTAACCATAATATGTAAAAAACAAAGATATAAAAATAAATATGCCATGGATATCATCACACATAGGAATAGAAGAATATAAAGATGCGACCATATTTGCGTTAAGAGTCTCACCAGATGAGTACATTTTCTATGTGCATTAAAATACCCAATAATTGTAACAAAAAATTCACTATATACTTAATAGTTGGTAAATATACTGGGAATGTTCAAAAAATACCAAAAACAAACAGAAAAATCCAACCATCTACGTTAACCCAACTTCAGCTACCACATACCAGATATCAAGAAGTCATAATCAACCGTATAGGTATATTCCTCAGAAGTATAATCTATAGTTACCTAATGTTATTAACATAGCACACTATATGCCTCAGGCTATGACACTATAATAGTAATGTAACCACTAACATCCTAGTAGGCTCATGGCTTGATGTGTTAATCCTTTCCATTTCCTTCTATCGGTTACTTTTCTTTTCCAGTTAGTTACGTAAAGACTTCTCATAATTACCTTCTTTAATTTCTTTGCTCGTTGCAGGTAACAAAGCACTTAAAATTTCGCTCTCCTAAACCCCATGAACCTTCTACATCATCATAACGACCCTTGCCGATTTTGCCAGTCACCAATAACTATAATAGTGGTAGTTCATGTGTTTATAGTGGT